CGTGTAAGTACCGTTCTCAAATTGTTCAGAAGATAGCACTGCGAATGAAGCGCTGATTTCAAACTCGAACAATGTAGTTTCCAATCGAGATGTTCATCAATGCACATTCCTAAAAACGTGACATGGATGACAGATTTGAAAACTGGTTTATCATTTACAGTGGGATCAGATCTAATACACATTTTTTGACGGTTGAGAAACCGAAGATATTATGTCTTATCCACATTGAAGAATAATGAGTTGTTATATGACCATGTAGCCAATGATCGGATGAGCTCATTACAACTTCTTCTGAGCATTTCATCAGAATGATCTGACACAAGTACAGATATATCATCTGCAAACATTGTAACATGAACATTTTCACACAGTTTTTCAATATTATTAATATATAGAACAGATAACACAGGACCCAAAATAGAACCCTGTGGAACACCTACGTTATTACAGCCTAGAATTTGTGACCCTCAACTCATTGCTTGTTCATTTCTCAAACATACATACTGTTTGCGATTTTGTAGAAAACTAATACGTGTCAGTGCATTATCTTTTACAGCATAATGGGGTATAGCCCATTTATAAAAATATCATAATCCACACAGTCGAATGCCCTGCTGAGATAACAAAATATCCCAAAAGAGCACTCGCCAGCATCAATAAGGCGCATTATTTCGCTATAGAAGCGGTGTACTGCAGATGTAGTTGACTTTCTCGGTCTGAACCCTAGCTGATTATTCCAAAACTGCTCCGTTAGAGTCAAGAAAACGTGACAGGTGCTCTAAAAACGATTATGTAAACATTTTTGAAAATATAGATGGTATAGTTCAACGGTCAGCAACAGGCGAACCGCGGTCCGCTTGCGGACGGACCGGCCATTTATTTTCCGAGAATTCTTGAATATAAAAAGAACTCTTAAGAAGGCATTTTTCAATTATTGAAAATCTGGCCGATCTTAGGAACGATGAAGCGGCAGATTGGACAAATGTGAAACATCTTTCACAAAGATGAATTTTTTGAAAAATAAATATCGTTCGAGATTAACGGACGCCTAATAGAAGACCCACTTCGAATTAGTTGTTCCTCTGTAGAACCAAACTGGCTCAAGACCGTCGGTGTAGTTTCTCACATCAATTTTAGGTCTAGTGTTGTATAATTCAGACTTTGATTTGAAACCAAAATAATACATAGGTAGCACCTCATTGTTATCAGTTGTTTTTTTTTCTGGACCTCATTGAAGTTTTCCCACAGTATCCAGACGCGCACTTGAAACTACTGGCCGACCCCTGGTATTGTTACTGGCCTATAGTTAGCAATTATGTCGCGATTTCCCTTTTTATGGATGGGAACAACTTTACTCGCCTTTATCTCACTTGGAAATGTCCCTTCAGCGAAAGATAAATTAACAGGTATGTCACAGGAGAAATAATGTGATGTAACACAGTTTTAACAATGAAAGCCGGCATTTCATCAAAACCAGAAGATTTTGAATTTTTCAAACGAGATATCACTAATTCGTATAAGTCGACATTTGTGAATGTATAGAGATTCGTTTTTAGACTAATATCAACACGATCACCTGTAACAAAATCATATTTTTTGGTTTGTGAAATGTTGTTTATTACATAGTTTGCCACTTGTTTGAAAAAATTGTTGAACAGATTTGTCACTGTCTCGGCATTGTCTAAAGGCAGTCCACCGTCAACGGAAAGAAACATATTAATCGGAGAATTAACTCCTTGTTTATGGTGGCTGAAGCGTGATTACTGTGTTGATTTTGGACAAAAAATACGAATAAGCAATGGCGAGTGAGTATAGAGTAATGTAAAATTGCACGATTGTTACAGTGTGATACAAGGCAGAATGAGTTATTTGGAAAGATCGTTATTTGAACAAAATATGTAGACTACTTATTAAATCGCCTCATCAGAATCACAAGCGATATAAATCTAATTTGACTACATAGTTCTCAAGCCGCGTAATGAATATTTAATTCACCAATCACGGATATTCACGACGAGATAAGAAAAAAATTAATAGCTACTAGTTCTAGGTCAAAGGCGCTTCAATGCACTTTTTGTTTTGTCGATATCGAATAGAAAGAAGGCTTGTTTGTATTTATCATATTTACCACCAGTTATAATGAGCCACGATAATGCTATTTACAGAACTATTATCGAAGTGTCGTAGGTTGGAAGTGATAACTTTTTGTGGCGATGAATTGGTAACAACAATACTTGTTCTGTGTTATTATCAATTGTGTTGGGTTGGGGCTTGGTGATTCAATCAGAAATATGACAGATAGGAAGGAGGACAGATTGGTCAGTATTATTGAACAGTCATAGCCTCATGTACTCAAACTGAACCGTTCAGTTTGCCCTGAAGATGATAGCGTAGCCTGCTATCGAAAGCGCTCGCATATGATAAAAATAACTGCGTGAACACAGTTATTTTTATCAAGTACTGTTCTTGATTATTCACATCTTGTCTTCAATCGAGACTCAAATTGAAATAAATATGGAAATGATCAGAATGGTAGGTACTTACTTTTGAGTTTCATGGAATTATTTTCCAGCAGCTTTACTGCATCAACCTTTCACGTTGAAATTAAAAAAACGGTATTCATGAAATATCATAAACATCCTCACACCATTTAGGTTGACATTTGCTACAGTTATTTGAAGTAATGAGACGCTTATTTAGCCCTAACTAGATTGAAACTATTAGTCTCAATTTGTACCCCAACCAACAATATTGGGAAAAAAATACGCCACTCACTTCTTCTGGATTTTCACTTTTCTAGATCAATCAACTGAAAAGGCAACTTTTCAGTCGCTTGTGTTTTCTCCATATCTAGCTTTGTTTTCGAGAAAAAAAATTGAAGCCACTTTGCATATCACGAATACCAACTATGAAGACAATCTGCCAGTGATAGTGTTGTCATATCAGTGAAAGTTGTCAATTAGTTTGTTAGCCGGACAAACGTTCGTAGGAACTTTTTTATTGAAACGATCCTCTGAAGAAAACACCCTGTAAGACCATCGCGTCCTTGCTTGTTTGTGCGAGAAATGATTGACGGCAAAACAGAAGAGAAACGATATATTTGAGTATGTAAGTCCTAGAAACACCAAAAAGACCAATTGTCAACGGACTCTTTCCTCGAATTTTTTCCAATATTTTAAATTAGAAACTTCTTCCACTAATATATGTTACAAAAAAGATTTGAAGCTTTATAACTCCTATTTAATTATATGCGAGCGCTTTCGACAGCTGGTCGTGATGTCATCATCAGGGCTCTACTCTTGAGTAGAACCCAGGTTATAGATTTTTTTAAAGGAAACAATAATGGAACTGCAGCATCTGAGAGGAATAATTTTGAATAATATATGTATCTGGATACAACGAGATAGAGTTTTAGGAGAAACAAGAAATAAAAATAGTCTTCCCTACAAGAAGACTGATCTGGAATTATTTTGATTGAAGTAACGCTTCAAAACAGAAAGTGATTTGAGTCTTATAATTATTGTAAATTCAGCTCTAGACAGGTATTTCCATGATCTAGTTGTTTTTTAATGCGTTGATATGGTGATTAATTATTTTAGTGTTCAAGAGACTTTGATTTTCCACTCACTTTTCACTAGAAAATGTTAATAAAAACGGACCATTGAGTATTATTTCCAAGTTACATCAGCAGCTGTTGAGAAGTCAATTCTTCATGAGTATTTGGAAGGACACAAACCTCAAGTTTGACACCAGTAAAAAAAGGATGATAAATTCAAAATGATTACTATGAATTTGTTTGTTTTTCTGGAGCCTCCGTATCACGATATGTTTCAAAAGCACTAAAGAAGTACGAAAGACAAAAGAAACCACAGGAAGTTCGATTCAATTGTTTTTAGAGTTTGAAAACTTTTTTAATTGATCATCGTAGCGTATGCGCTAATTCGAATTCTAAGCCAATTTTTTAGGAGTTTCTATTTCTCTATGAAAAATAGTTCAAAATGATTGACATCATGCTTTCAAAGTGAACACAAGAGTTGAATTCCGTTCTCAGATTAGTTATCGCCTAATATCTATGAATATGGGAGGAGAAAATAATTTGAAACGGGATTGTCTTTTAATTATATTCATACTTGATATGATATTCATTTTGGAGGAGTACGAAAAAATTGACAGAAGAGTAAATGATTTCTAAAAAAATTCGAAACTTTGAAAAACTCCTCAAAAGACGTGTTGAAATTATTTGGAAATCCTCAGAGCGCATAGCTGATTTTTTATTTATTAGATCTTCAAGTGCCAATGTTTAACTAATAAGAATTTTAGTTGAAATACTTTGCAACATGTTCTTTCATTTGCAACAGAAAAAAATCACTTTCAAAATTTCATTGCATCACTTTTGGAGGAACATATTTTTCTTTTTGTCCTTCAACTGAAACCAATATGCACTTTTTCATTTTTCCCAATTTTTAACTGGCTACAGACCAAACCGTTCACTCTTAAAGAGAATGGTTATGAAATTAACGTGACATGAATCAAACAAAAATTCACTAATTATCAGGTAGTCAAACATATCTCCTTCAATTTGGACGACACTTTCCTGACACTCTTGGTTTATAAAAAAATCCCAATATTGTATTTAAATCACAAACAAGCTTTTCTTCCACCCAGGAAACATGTCAACTCTTAAAAATCCTTTTTGATACTATTACTGTGAAAATTATCATTTCATTCCCCATATTTCAATATGCTAATATGATATAACGATTAGCCATTCAACAACTTGTCTTAATTCATTTCACTAAAATGCTTTTTGCCATTCTTCTGACATCGGATAACATTGAAATTTCATTCCTACTGCAAGTAGAAAAATATACATATTGTACATACAAAACATTATCTGATTAATATTTTTGAATAGAACGAAACATTTTTCATGATAATTTTTTTCTTCCCTCGTTATTCAACTTCCATACATTTCAATTGAATGTTGAGTACGTATATCTATAAATATTTGTTTGTTTTACACCTCGGAAAGGACTAGGAAATCTAATAATTTTGAATACTTATAACTGTCGTCAAATATTTTTACAGTCCTCGAAACAGTAACAGTCTTACATGACATATTTCATTCACTTCACTCAAATCTGTCACAAGCAAGACGTTTTCGCTTTGAGGTAACTGCAAATTACACAGGTGGTCACAGAAGGCTAGTATTTTTCAAATATTACCTACATGTTGCTCAAAATGATTTTCTTTTTGACATTTCGATGTTTATCAATACCACTTACCGGATTCTATCGGGCACGTCCACCTTGCTCTTCTTTTTCGCGTGTGCGTGCACGGGGGAGATACTGGGCTCGCTCCCCGAAGTTGGGGGGCTTGACGACCCGGTGCTCGAGCATGACAGACTCCCGGCTCGAGCTCTGACGTCCATCCCCAAAGCATGATTCGTAGAAATCGCCAGACTAGGCCTGGCGTTCCTGTTTCTCCTCTTCTTCTTCTTCCCGACGTCTACTTCCTCGATCCTTCCGAAGATATTGCTGGTGGGAGGCGGCGGCATCCAGTCCAAGTCCTTTTTGAGGTGCCCACGACCGCACTTGCACCCGCACGCTTTGTACGCGAGGTCATACCCCTTTTTCGTCCACAAGTTCTGGTGTCTCTGCCTCTCAGACCACGACCTGGCCCTTCCGCAGGTCTTGAGATAGGCGAGCACCGACTGCTCCCACTGTTCGAAGCACTCTCTGTGCATATACCTCCCGGAGACGCACATTTCGTTGTTGCAGGTCACGCGGACGGTGTCCCGCAGGTCATCCAGGGAGATGATCATGTGGTCGTTGTTGTTCATCTGCTGCTGGGCGCGAAGGCATTCTCCCGAGGGAACGCAGCAGCGTGTTATTCCGGCCTCTTCGAAGCCCTGGACTTGCCCCAGGTGACGACGCGGTGCCATGACCTTCAATTCGCTCGCTGCACGTCTTTGATGCGGCTATGACGGAGGCCTACTAAAGCGTGCTCTCGCCTCACGCACCGGGGAAAGTGTGGAGGGGCCTCGCGCTCGGAAAGCGAAAGGGAGGGGAGGAGTGGGACCGCTTTTCACTTTCGCTGGTACCGCGGCGCAGGCGTCGGTTTCACTCTCTGCCGGCCGTGACCGTCGAGCGTCGGGACGCTGGCCCTTGCAGCGGCGGATGGCGTGCGGCGAAGAGATTTGCCCGCCATCGTGAGTATTGCGCTGCTATTTTTAGATTGTTGAATGAACGCGCGAATACGGCGGATTGCTCTCGTGGTTGTGGCACCGGTGACGGTATGTATGGGTTTATCAACTTTTTGGGACGCCCACGAGGTTCGATTCGAGCCGCGATCATACATGAACACGATGATTGAACAACGAGAGAGTTTTATTAAGAAAATTTAAACGATTCATTGTAACTAGATCAATAAAACATGAAAAGTACCGTCAAAATATATTTGAGGAGATAGTTGAGTTACTTTGACAGTCGATTCCGTAAAACCGATCTATTTATTTGAAAGAAATGAATTATAGTGAGCAATGCATTAAATTTGCTCAGATATGATACTGCATTTGAATTAATATGAAATATCGTTTAATTTCAGGGACTAGTTTTACTTTCTTTAGGATGCAGAAAACAAAAAATAATAAACTTTTTATATAACATGTAGTTTCGAAAATTAAATGGTTACGAGAATTGAGAATCGATTATAATGGAATAATAGTTGACAAATCTAAAGAAATGAACTTCGAACGTTCAAACTAGTCTTGGATATACCTACACAGTAGGTTGAATGGACTGACGCCTATCAGAAAACAACTACTCCCCTGGCTAATACCACGAATGGCGTTGGAGTATATCCGACAGGCGTCAGTGCAGGAATCTTCGCAGAAAATTTCCTGCATATGCAATTGTCAATACAACTGAAAGAGTCTAATTCAATTTTGGAATGGGCACACTCTTTAAGTTGTATTGCCAATTGCATATGCAGGAAATTTTCTGTGAAGATTCCTGCACTGACGCCTGTCGAATATACTCCAACGCCATTCGTGGTATTAGCCAGGGAAGTAGTTGTTTTCTGATGGGTATCAGTCCATTCAACCTACTGTGTAGGTATATCCGAGACTGACTTGTACGTTTAAAGTTCATTTCTTTAGATTTGTTTACTGTCAGTCATCAAGCATAACCCACTTTCTGATAAAAAAATCATAGTTGATTATTGTATTTCTACTAAAAACCTAGATGAATTACAAGTTTTATTGCTAGATACTGCTACCAGGCTTTTTTTCTCTTGGTTTCTATTTTCACTTCAAAGGACACGGCGATTCGCCAAACAATCAACGCTTTTTTAGGACCACATGTGACCACATAGACCACATGTGACCCATTTTACATACTCCCGAGGAGTTGTCCTCCTAGGTCATCGCCCATCTTGTTTTTTCCAGGAGGTTGACAGGTCACTGGGAGACATCTCCATTATTTTGGCAGGTGTAGGCCTAACACGCCAAACACACCCCCACTTTTTCCTGTTCACACATCCTGCATAAAGGTGTGTCCACTAGCCCCATATTATGATTTCCTTAGTTGACAGTGGCCAGTCCGAAATCCTACTGTTAAGCGTAGATTTTTCCTTCTTCGGCGCCAGCTTTCCAGGGTCGCCCAAGGTGATCCTGGCATCCCTCGATTCCATCCCATCTCTTCAAGGATTGAGCATGGGTGTAACGTTTGGCTAGCTCTGCAATCGTCGGAGTCATAAGACCGTAGGTGCCATTGGGTCCTAAAATTCTTAGTCCAGCCGCTTCCTTGACTGAAGAGTCGGCAAAGCGATTACCATTACTACTGTCGTGGTTTTTAACGAACCTCAAGATAATGTTATTATCTACCGAGGCTTTGGCTAAGTCTTGGTGACACTCTAGTACTAGCCCTGAGGTTATACGTTGTCTGTTCAAGGCTAATAGGGCTTGTCTGCTGTCAGTACAGATTGTTATGTTTTTGCCAGAAATTCTTTTCCTCGTTATTTCTTTTGTGGCGATTGAGATTTCAGCCAGTTCTGTTTGGACCACGCTGGTATTTTTTCCCATTCTCCACTTAATCCTTAGGCTTAGTGTATTGCATTTGTAGCATCTGACTCTCTGTTCTGTTTAATTTGTATTTTGTAGGGTGTATTAAACACAAACCTGGGTTCAGTTGCATCACTGGTTGCCTGCAGCAGAGGTTGCGCAATCCTACTTCGAGGTTAAACCAGCCGTGCGCAGTCGTATCATGGCCATTACCGCAACCTTCCTTTCTTTCTAATATTCATTTCAAACATGATTTCAGTTTAAACTCAGCATCTGTCAAGAATATGAAATATCGAATCCTTAAAAGTTTTTAGAGGAAATTGTTGATTGAAAAAATGGCCCCGTGAAAGCAATCATCAACATAATTTCTCGCAAAGATGTATCTTCAGATTGAGTGAAATATCAAACAAATTTCGATAACGAGTTGAACTCCTTGGCACTCTCACCGAAAAGGAACAAATCGTCCTGGGATAATTATAAAACTTCAGGCTCCAAAAAAGCATCACCCTTTCTCCCATAAACTCGAAATGCATTAAAATCAAGCCTCTCCAAACAATGCCCGATGAACTCGAGTTGATAATTAACGTTTCCCAACAATGGCTCGTCGCGATCCTCGAAAGAAGACGAAGAAAATCTCCTCAAGGGGTGACGACTGACTACGATAACACTATAATTACAAGATAGGGACAACACCTCTCGTCACAAAAACGGACACAATGCAAAGCATTAGACGGTATTTACGGCCGTGCCCCGCGTTATAAATACTCTGTATACAAAAGGAACGATGCATGGACTCGTTTGTACCGCTTACATTGTTGTGCAATACACTTTATTGGTTCGTATATCCTCTAGAACTGGATAAGGCGGTTTTGAATGAGTTGCTCATCTAGTCTTTCTCAGAGGCAAAAAAAATATATCTCACTTCAAGGATGTGGATCTCTATTCAAGCAGGTGGGCCAAAGGACATTTTCTAGTATCATTCGATGAATTTAGTCAATGAAGTCATTTCTAATCTGGGTGGAGGTGAAAAAACAATACGTGTTATATTCTACTTGTCACGAGCTTTCGTCACGATTTACTTTTTAGCAAGCTGTTTTGTCTAGGAATTCATGACTCATCTCTGGATTGGTTGAGATCTTATCTATATGAGGGTTAAACTGAAGGCTGGGATCTTCCACTCTAGAATCTGTATAGTTCCCACCGGTGTTCCCCAGGGTAGCGTCCTAGGACCTATGCTCTTTCTTTTATTCGTACATGACCTCATCAACAGTAATCGTCAACATTGTACAGTGCAATTTGCCGGCGATTCTTTGTTATGAGGGATTGTCGTATCAGGACAATCAAGCAGTTGCTAATATGCAAAAATATTGTTCTCAAAATGGTCTTATTCTCAACAGCTCAAAAACTGATACAATCGTCCCAATATCATAAGCCGTGAAGAGTGGAAGAAGTCATTCCAAAAACATGTTTGGAAAAAACACCTGGTATACAGATGGACCAAACATGGAACGGGAGCTGGAATATACCGAGCGGATAGAAATTTCAACTACAGTTATCCGCTGGAACTATACACATTTGTCTTTCAGGCGGAAGTGTATGTTATCTTGCAGTGTGCAAGGCTTATTAAATTGAGACCTCAAAGGAATGAGCCGATCAATATTTTAACAGACAGCAAGGGCGTAGTAGGGGCTCTGATAAACCCGAAGATGACATCAAAACTGGTATGGGAATGCCATGAAGAACTGAATGAAATTGCAAACAGGAACAAATTAACTTTATACTGGATGCCAGGGCATTTAGGAATCACAGGTAATGATAAAGCTGATGAATGCGCTAGACACGGATTATCAACTTCATATATAGGTCCTGAACCAGCTCTGGGGGTACCAAAATCATTGGTACGAAACCAGATTAGGACATGGACCAGTAAGAAACACACAGAGAACTAGACAAAAGTACCTGGCAACAAATACAGTGAAACCTTTATTAGGGAACCGTCCGAGAAAAGAACCGAAGAACTACTTCAATATAGTAGGGATCGGCTCCGAATAATTACAGGGTTACTAACCGGTCATTGTCCGCTTAGAGGACAACTGAATAAAATGGGGCTGTACAACGGAGACCTCAGCTGCAAATTATGCAACGAAGGAATAGAAACAGCTCTACACATCTTATGCGAATGTGTGGCACTGAATCACAGGAGGCAGACAATATATGGACGTACAAAATTACGTCCAGAAGAATTTGACGAACATCCAACACGGAACCTGTACAAACTAGTACAGGAAACGAAACTGATGAAATGAGTGTCACGAGAAGATGGGAAAATAAACGCATTTAGCCCAAGAGGCTGCAGTGTTTTCTGAAGACTTGGAGTAAATGGACAAGTCAGACAGTTCCCAAGGGACCAAAAAAAAAAAATACAATCGTCTCTTCACTAAATGACAATGATCGCAGTGTTCTGGTCAAAATAAACGACATGTCAATACAATAAACTTCATCTGTGAAATTTTTAGGTTTGAACATTGATACTCTTTCGGAAAAAGCGCATTGATTATATTTTGAGTAAACTAGCGAAACATAGAGCTATTACTATGTTTATATTCAATATCCACTCATTTATTGTCCGATCAACTTTGGTGGTAACTGCACAAGAAAAAACTCAAAAAAAGATAGTGACGAAATCAACAAAAGTAACATCAATGGCAACACAATCAACGGATAAAGTGTTCAAAATAACCTCCAACTAGTTCCATTCCATACAGTCTACAGAAATCAGCATTCCCGAACAATTATCTGTCGCAGGTTTCCTAGATTTGTAGAATTTATTCAATTAGTAGTGAATGTTTTGAAATGGACGACACTGTTAGTTTTTTCTGCAATGATAGTTTTTCTTGAATCTAGTTGTCGCAGAACAAAAAGTAGATAGTTGGCCA